GAGGGGATCGGGGGAGGGGGTCCTGGGATATCTGTGGTAGCTAATACATAGTAAAGAGGTGCGCACTAATTTGTAACTTTGGCTGCCCCTCCCACCATTAAACATCTCAGGCTAGATCTGTCAACTGATCGGAGAGGTGGGGATGGGTGATGATGGGTGATGGAATGAAGGGAACTCCAAAATTCCAATTTCATCGAGCGGAATGACAGGGAGGTTCCTGGGGTATTGCAAAAGGTTATTAAACGAATAAGAGAGTGATCATTGCAGTTATGAACACTAACTGAGCAATAGTGAAAGTAAAGCCTGAAAAAAATACAGGCTCGTACGACAGTTGAACCCATGCCCTCTGTGATAATGGTGCTCCTCCAAATGAGCTAACAAGCTAATCGACAGCTGGTCATTCTGTTGGTTCTTTGTAACCCGTGAGTGATGAATGAATTCGAAGTTCAAATATAGGATATCATGTCAGATCTTTACATTCGTTTAAAGGGCTATTAATCAACCAAATCGTTTTTCGTTACTCCAAAAGGGGCTGGGCGTTGGACCCATGGACAAACAGGAGTACAATCTCTATCGAGACATTCGAGGAGCACAGAGGTATAACTGGGTGACAGTATTCTTGAGGGAGGGTGCTTATAAATCGTCTTCTAAGTTGCACCATATTTTTGCATTTTTAAAGAACTGCTCGTTCAATTGCTTGAGTTAAGCATTGCAGTTGACAGTTTATAGTGATATTCTTCGATGCGAGGAACACTGATTATGACCGAGTCAGCCCTTCCACTTAGCTGTATTACTACTACTTGTCGAAGGATGAGTTTTGTTTGCACATGAACTGTTTTTGATAATTAAATGAGATTCAACAGTTGTTGGTGGGTTGGTAGACCTGGATGAAGTTTGGGATTGTGTTGGGGAGACACCGTTACACACTTTTGCAACGTGCATCTATTAAGATAGAAAGATCGAAAAGCGAAAACAGTTAATAAAAAAGGTCGCAAGATGCATCCGACAAACTTATCTATCTTTCCAGGTGTCAGTCTGCGAAAATGATTAGTGAGTTGATTGTATCAATGAATATACCACTGGAAACATGCAATGAACTATATCTAAATGATTCAATTGTCATCTTAAACTTGAACTGGTTCTAGACAAAGTACAGTGATTGGTAAAGTTCACTTTACCTGCAATTATCGTTTCTTGGCTATAGTATGATCACTTGATTTTTTTACCCTGGAAGCAGCAATGGCAATGTAAATCAGCCTTTTTTTCTATCTTCCAAAATCAAAGACTACTCTCGAAAGTTTTTTTTACAGCGACCTACCTGTACTACTAGTACAAACAAGGAATTTCAGCTTCATCTTGTTTGTTCTACAGTTTCCTCCAGATGTACTGTTAATGGACGTTTTTCTTCCATCCGAAGTTGCTAGTCAATAGAAAACTTAAAAGTATTAAAAATTGTTCAAGGCATTTAACACGCACGAAGCAGGAGATTGCAACTTTGAAGAATCATCACAAAAAGAATTCAAAACTCATGGAGAAAGTTATTGAGAAACTATTAAAAAAACGCTCGTTAATAACAACTTGGCTCAGAGGGCGCGAAGAACTTCTTGGTAATTTTAAAGCGAAATGAGACAGTGTTAATAATACTTTTTTTGTTTGTTTGTTTTGTTTTTTTTTTCTTTGCCCTGACTGTATACGTAATAGTTTGAGGTGGGGAGGAAGAAGAATGGGTGTACGTATACGTGTGTGATCATCCACGTCAGCGTGGTCCTGGAAACGACTGTTGATGGTGTCAGTGTTTGACATTTTACACTCTAAGCCGACTGAAGTCATCATGATTTGACTCGCCTTAACTCAACTCTGATAACATTGACTTTCGCCATATCTCTAACTTGC